CACTAATTTCTTATGAGTATATGGTAATTTCTTCTCCTTAGATCTATTTTAGGCAAATAATTGAGAGAAAGAGCTTATGGGAATATAAAGAACTAAGTTATAGTATAATAATATTTTTTATGTTGTAATAATTATTGTTTTGGTCATTTTAGGTAGTGATAAGTTTTATCTTTTTAAAGTAATTTTTGCAAATTTGATAAATTTAAGTAGTGTTGTTTAAGACATCTTGTAATTATTGCATAAAAAATTATTTTAATTCTATCAACTATCTAATTAAAGTACTTTATGTAACATTGATATTAAAAATAAAATTTACTTTTGTAATTTTTTATATAAATTAATAATAAAAATATTTAATAAATACATTTTAAAGAAAAAAAAGTCTTAATATAAATTATCAATTTAGTACCAGCTCAACACTGATATAAGATAAAAAAATACCACTTTATTGTAATGTAAGCAATGGCCCCCACTAAAAGCACTTTTTTATTACAAATTAACGAGTGTCTGATGTAAATAGTGCAGAAAAGGTTGATATGCAACCATATAATAAGTTAAAGGGCTGATTTGCAACCATTCACTAAGTATGGGTTGATTTGCCATTTTTCCATTTTTTTTAAAGATTTGAACTATACTTGTTATAATATCGGTGTATTGGTCAATACATCCAAATTTAACTAAAATATCTAAATTTTGACTAAAATGAAATTAAAACTTATATTGTTTCGAATTAATAAAAAAATTGATACATATTGACTGTATCAACCAGTATAAAACGGCATTAACTACATTGATACGAATGTTATCTCTTTTTTTATTCCTTTAAGAACACAAAATTTTTTTGTTTCAAAATTAGACAATGATTTTTTAATTTTTTAAAATAAAAATACAAAATTTATGATTTTTTTATTTAAGAATATATTAGATAAACATTCCGAGTAATTTATTGTGGAAGAAATGGAGTATTACAACTTGCAACAGTTCATGATCCGCACTCTGTAGCCATAAGGAAAAGATGATTTCTTTTGTGAATTACAAGTCCAGGGGCTGGATCAAAGTCCAGGTCTTCCTCCTTCATTCCAGGAGGCATTTTCCAATCAAATCTGTAGAGAAGATTTGCAAGTGCCAGCTCCACGGTTGCAGCTCCCATATGCATTCCAGGACAAATCCTCCTACCAGAACCAAATGGTATCAACCCAAAATCTTGTCCTTTATAGTCAATGGAACTATCCATAAATCTCTCAGGACAAAAGTCTTCTGGGTTTTGTCCCCAAGCTTCAGTGTCCCTTCCTATTGCCCACGCATTTACATATACTAGGCTCTTGGCTGGAATTTTGTACCCACCTATGTTGCAGTCTCGAAGGGTTTCTCGTGGAAGTAGTAGTGGAACTACGCTTTGTAGCCTTAATGTCTCTTTAACTACGGCTTTTAGATATGGTAGGTCTTGAATTTCATCTTCGTTTAAAAATCTTTTTTTCCCATCGAAATTCCTTACTTCCTCTTGAGCTTTCTTCATTGTGGCTGGATATTTCATTAGGAAGGTCATAGCCCAAACCACCGTAGCAGCACTGGTGTCTGTTCCAGCAACAAATACATTCTGAAAATACACAGAAGAAGAATCACTCAAACCTTCTATAGATATATATGATGCAATATTCTTAATCAAATTAATTGAAAAAATTGAATCAACTGATTAATTACCATGAGCATGGCTTTGATGTGATCAAAAGAGATATGCGAAGTAGACTGAGGATCCTTCATAATTTTGAGGAAAACATCAATTATGTCTTCTTGTTCTGGTTTCTGTCTCTTTGGATCAAGATGATCATCGATGAGTTGTTGATAGAAAGCGTCTAATTCTTTGACAACATTTTCAAGGCGAGACAAACCTCCGGTGAGTCTATCAACCCACCTCATTGAAGGAAAGTAGTCACAGACAAAGAATTTTGATAACATCACCTGAGTTTCGCTAAGTATTCTGTTGAACTTACTGATTTCACTTCCTTTGTCTACACATCTTTTTCCGAAACCAACTCTACAGATGATGGAACTTGTAAGATACACCATGACTTCACTCAGATTGATGGGTTTGGAAGCATCACATGATTTTGATACCTTGTCAATCATCTGAGAAACTTCATCTTCTCGAATGGGACGAAAGAGTTTAGCCCTGTTAGGGCTAAAAAGATGCAAGGAACTTATTTTCCTAATCTCCTTGTTGTAAGAATCAAATGGCGAAAAAGCCAAATCTAAACCATCGTAGGATAGCTTTTGTTGGCCAAGCAAAGCAGGTCTGCTACAGAAGTCGATGTCATGGGTTTTCAAAACCTCTTTAGCCATTTTTGCTGAAGAAACTACTATGGCTTTCCGAAGACCAAGCCGAAGGGATATTAGAGAACCATACTTTTGAGAGAGTTGCCAAAGATAAACGTGAAGATTGGAGTTGTCAAGCTGGTGTAAGTTTCCAATCAAGGGAAGGCCATGAGGACCTGGTGGAAGGAGATTGGATTTGTCGGTATAGTTTCCTTGTTTGTGGATAATTAGAAAGAGGAAAAGAGGAAAAACCAAGAGGAAGAAGATGAGCAACATATTTGATGCAATGGTCAAGATGCAAACTTGCGAAGGTAGATGCTTGATTTATAGAGCGGGTTACAACTGCGACCTATGCTTGTTTCGACAAAGTCTTCATAAGGATTGTTTTACTCTTAAGGGAGGCCGGTGGGGAGGGTTTTTTTATTTTTTTTTTATTTTTTTAAGTAAGATAAGACAAATGATTTAATTTATAAAAGAAAAAACTAAAAAAAAAAATTTAACTTGTGCGGCTTCGTAGACTTCCTCGAGCGGAGGGTATATTTTGTCATCATCGAAAATGATTCTCAAAACTGATATAATTAGGGACCATGTTGACTTGGGTTGGGCGGCAGAGATTTGCTATCATCGAAATCGACTCCTAAAGCCAAATTTAAAGGGCCGAAGTAAAAGCCATGTGATTAGTTTCTGCGTTTTTTTTTTTTTTCCAAAATTAAAATAAAAAGGAAATAATTTTAAAAGGGCTAAAGTAGTATGTAAGATTATGAACTTACATTAAATTCACAATTAAATTTTTAAAATTTTATTATACTTAATTAAAGTTTTAAAATTATCAAAATTTTTAAATATGGTCATAATTAGATACAAGCCATTAGCTTTGTTAAATTATTTGTTAACAATGTTAAATTTGATTGATTAAAAACAAAAATAATTCTTAAATTTTTAATTTTACGTTTTGATAACTCTACAACTTTTAATAATTTTAAAATTCTCCTTAAATTATTTTTTTTATTAATATAGAGATGTTAGATTTAATAATGTTAACAATTGATTTAACGTACATAACAGTTTCTATCTAAATTATTAAATTTAAAAAGAAAAAAACAGTTTCTATCTAATTAAGATTTTATTTAAAAATTTTGACAACTTTAAAAACTTCAGTACAGTAAAATTTTAAAATCTTGATTGTAAATTTGATGTAAATTTATATCCCTATGAACTATTTTAGCCTTTAAAAATTTTTTTTTTAACTTACCTAGAACTAATTTTAAAAGAAAGAACAATGGGACAGCGTAGTCGGTAGTCCTGTTGATTGCAATTATAATGATTGATCGGTAGACTTATACAAAAATGTAAGAAGAAATACGGCAAAAGGTACCATTTGCCCCTTAACTTTTCGACTTTTAGGGTTTTTATCCTCCATATTACAATATATGGATTTTTACCCTCAACGTTTTCGAGTTAAGGAAATGAGGCAAAATTTAACGCCGGAACGTTACGTGTAGCACGTGCACCATTGGCCTCCGTCAAGTATGCGCATGTCAGCGCTAACTCAGAATTTTTTGACAACCTGGCATGCCAACTTGGAACCCCACGAGCGGGAAGTCTACTTGCTGCCAATTTTTTTGTGGGCCCCATTGCTGATTAAAGGTTTTAAAAAAAAAGTTAAATCCTCGATTCAGTCCCTTAACTTTCATTTTTAAACTAAATTTACCTCGAACTTCAAAATATTGTGACTTGGCACCAAAAATAT